TATCCATTAAATGAGGAGGGGCACTTTTAGCGGAAATGGGTTTTTTTTTTACCCATTTGTGGGTTTTCGCGAAACACCGTGAAGATAAATCTCGCGTCACTTTTCAAATATTATTATTATTTATCTTTATTAGGGAGGCTTTCAGCCTTGGGCTGGTTCGCCTCCAATGAGACTTTTCAAATAGACCAATGTAACAAATCCACCATTTTGATAAAATCGAAGTTGAGGTTCGACAGATTATTAATTTAACTGTTTAAAAACAATACTATTTTTAATGTAGCCAGTGTTTAATAAAGTTGAAAATTCAGAAGAAACGGTGAAATCACAATTTTACTTTGAATTTCATGCTACAACATAGAAAAAACCAGATAGGACGTTTTGACAAGTAGAGTTGTACATCGGACATGTTACATTGGACGATTTTTCTCAATGACATAATCAATGAGTGTTACATTGGACGTTTTGTCTACATGATACTAGATTCCCTGTCACAGATTTCAGAGTATAGTACCTACACGCAGAGAAATGGTTTTTAAGTTCAAATGGATATATTTTTGACTCAGGGCCTAATATATTTTAGATATTGTTTCAAATATATTATTCGGTTAATTCAAAGAAAAATATTTTTGAATCAACAAACCGGTTGTAGAGTCAATAATCTGTTTGTTGATTCTAAAAACCATTTTGTTGATTCAAAAACATGTTTTGTTGAAATAGTGATACAATATGTTTGAATCAATAACAAAATACATTAGGCCCTGAAACAAAAATCCATTTTTCTGCGTGTAACTTTAGATTGGCCACGCCTTTGAAAAATGAGCACCAATCATGAAAGGCAGTCCGAATGACCGAAGTAACAATCATGTACCCATCATTTCAAACTGTACACGCAGAGAAATATATCATCGAAGCAAAAATATTTGAGGTAAATTTAAACGTAAATTCAGTTTGTTCTGGCCACAAAAATAAACTCGGTTGATTTCAAACGTATTCCATGTTTGAAGTCATGTGACATCAAGGTTTAAAATAAAAATAATGTTACGTTTATTTTAAAAATATTCGTATTGAAAATAAACGTATTATTTTTGATTGATTTGACAGCTTTGTTAACAAACATAAATATGTTTATTTTAAACATGCGATTTATGTTTGTTAGCTACATCGTTATGTTTATTTTAAACGCACCATTTTTTTAAAACAAACGTATTTTGAAATTATTTTAGAATTTTATTGCGCAATAAAGCAAATAAAAGTGCGCGATTAGTTTGAATCGCCTTGGTGTCTTCGATGCATTTAAATCCAGTTTTAAATGCGTTGCAGACACCAAGACAATACCAACTAATTGTGCACTTTTATTTGCATTATCACACTTCCAAGTAGCCCGGTTTCAGTTGTAAATAATAAAAAGACGTCAAATATTTTATTGTTGAATACAGAGCATTTCAAAAAAGTTAATTCATAATTGAGAGCTAAGTGTTTTACCTAACTGATGTTGGCTTAACTTACAGAAACATTGATTTATTTTTATTATTTTCCACTTGTTTGTATCAGTATACAACGCTATTTGGTACAATATCATTGAGGTTGTAATAATTGCACATTCTCAAATATGATGAATTATTTACAATGTGTATGTTGATTGGCCTTGACTCAAACTCACTGATACGTACAACATTGTATGAATGGCATTTTTCAATATTAAATGACTGTAAGTGACTGTTAAAATCAATCGCATTGAACTTAGCACAAAGTAGTAATAATTCCTCATGATCTCCTAAAAATATTTCTTCGATTTGATAAACATTAAGGAACATCCCTGCTTGCAAGTAGAATACAGTTCCTTTCTTATAGATTGCACCTTGTTTCTCGAAACACGACAAAAACGTTACACATTCTTTTTGTACTAAGCACGCATTACATTTGATAAACTTTTCTTGTTCAAGTTCAAATTTTGCAGTTTTATGTGTTGCAATACTCAAATCAATTCTTGGAGTGATAAACGACTTATTTACTAGATGATAAGCGAATTTAAAATTTTCCTTAATTGACAGTGAATTGCACAAATTTTTGCGATTCTGATTGATTTTGCTGTACTGTTTCGATTCTTTATGCTTGGCCTCATAGCGCATAGCCCAATGTGGCCGAAGTGGCCCACCCTTCAATATTGCTGTAGGATAATGTGTTAGGTTGTGAAACTTAGGTTTAAGCGTGTCCTTGAACAAATGTATATACTGCTTGTGATGGAATTTGATTAACGACCGAAGTTTATCTACCAACTCGTATGAAAAAGTATTTAAAAGAACAATATGTAAAATATTCAGAAAACTACAAAAAAACAGCCAGACTTCATCGTTTTCAGGAATGACCGGCCCTAGTATGAGAGGTAGAAAAGTAACAAAATTTTTACATTCACTAGCAGTAATTTTAAGTTGCTTATTTTTTAAATTGTTCTCTCTGAAATCATCTGGGATGTTATCCGAATTTAGATTACCATAAACAAACAAATTTTTTCTGTGATTTAAATCAACAACAGTTAAGTATTTTTTAATGTAAACAAAGTAATACAGACAATGCTGTAAGTCATACAGCGCAACCCCCTCTAACACGTCATGCATGACATCAAAGTAGAAATTGTTTACTGCATGAAATGAAGGAATTTGGTTAAAAACGCTTCTTGCTTTTATACCTGTTCTCGCTACATCATTGAGACTTAAATCTTTCTCATAGTTCTCTTCTGTTCTGAAATAGTCGGGATATTCTTCGCAGTCGGTTTCTGTCTGAATACGAGTTCTTTTGCAAACTCTGCAAAAGTGGTTGGCTCTAAAGCATTCGACGTAGTCAAGGACACCATTTATGCCCAAATTATCGCCTACAACAAATCCGACAACAAAGCATACATTAATTATACTACCCTTCGAATTAATCTCTAGTCCATTTACCTCTAATGCAATAAGCTGTTCGATAATCCTTTTTAATGTCTGATCGTTACGAAAATCTTTTTTGTCTTGTGTTTTAATAAATCCTACTGTCAGTATATTACACATTTTTCCAGATAGATAGCGAGGCAGACATGGTATATTCATATAAATTCCGCAAATCGACGTGGACCTCGCATGTGGAGACGATGTATCACCGGTTACAAAATCGTCGAAGAAGATATTCAAGGGAATTACCAGTTTATCAGTCATTGCAGCTGTTCTAGACTGCCATACAGAACCATCAATCAGTGTTCTAAACGATCCATCAGATGAAACCCGTAGACCGTCACGAACTGCTTGAAGAACATGATCCGTTTCGAGATATTTTTGAAGCATGAATTTTGTTGGCATGAGAACTCCCTGTATTTGATCGACAACCTAAAATTAAACAAGAATCCTCTAAATTAATATACAACAATTCATGAACAACTAAGCATAATATCCTATGTAACATTGACAACTTCCCTTATACCACGTTCATACTGCGATCAAACTACAGAGTTATAACATGTTATAGCGCTATCTTGATGGTGGTTTGTGTTGCAATTATTTGACAACCGTTATAACATGTTATAACTCTGCTGTCTGAACGTACTATAAACAAGGCATTAATCTACTCTCTCATTCGTTAATAACTCGTCCGTAGTGATTCAAAGAGAAATTCGATGAAGAGAATCGATCAATTTTACTTAGGACCATATACATTGTTATGCTTGAATTAAATTTAGAAACACTGGGGATATAGAATATCTGAACTTCATTTATGATGGTAGCTGCTTTGATGTCGAGACCAGATTTAAGACCACGACTCCAAAAAAAAAACGTTTTACAGGTCATCCAAATAGGGACGGGATTAAAAGTTAATCTGAGTTGGAGCTTTATAGCTACTATTATTATAATAGTATAGTATAGGTAACATGTAATATAGGCTATCTAGCGATGATTACTCATACGTCACATTTTCACCAGAAATATCATATCACGTAATATAGAATATTTTGATATCATAAGTCATACCTAGGATTACTGGTGAAAATTTTACGTATGAGTACTCATTGCAAGACAGCCTAAATTAAGTAATATTAGCTATAGTTTTTACGGGGTTTAATGCGACACACTTAGATCTTTTTACCGAGATTGCACCGCTGAGTAGCTCGGCATTTTAATTTGGTGGAGCTCAGTGAAAAACTTGTCGAGATTCAGCTAACAAACGGGAATTTCGTTGAGATCTCAGCTAAGAAACAAAAATTTTGTGAGATCTCAGTAAAAATAAATGCTGAGCTGATCAGCGGTGCATTGGCAAAAAAAATAAGTATGTCCGTACAGACTATAGTTTAAAAAGTAGCCTACCAAAATAACAAAAAAATAACATACCATGTGCTGTTCATTGTCTGTAACTGCCGGTTTGAGTTCTTCGCAGATTGTGAAAAAAGAAGGATCCTGGTAGAGGTTTTTGGTTTTCAATTGCTGTATGTACTTATATTCAGAAAAAACATCAAATCCACTTAACAGCTCGTCAACAATCTGCTTGCATGTTTCTGTCAGCATACCTGCGTTGCACATCATTTCAAATGTCTTTTTAATAGGTTCTATAATGTAACTTTGAATATCCTTTCGGATGTCAAATGCGGCTTTTCTTGAAATGGAATCTTTACTTAACCAATTCAGTGTAAAAAGCATACTCATTCGGTTTATCTCTTCTCGTATTTTCTGAGCGTCAAAAATGCTGTCGATTATTTTTTTCTCTTCTGGATTGATATCTATTTTGTTATTATTACTACTTAGGCCATTTTCATCTATGTCATCGTCAATGTCTGTGTTGGATGGCTTTATTTTGCTTGTGCTGGGCTGAACATTTTTTTCTCTTGTAATTTCTACCGATTCAATGACATCATGACAATTTTTCAGATGATGTCTTAGCGATTTTAATGATGAAAATCGTTGATAGCAGTTTTCAAAAATACATGAATAACCATTGATTGTTTCGTGCATACGTGAAAGGTGATGAATATATCCGTCGATGGAAGGTGCGTTCCACAGGCATCCTTGATGCGTACAGTGAATCATTTTAATCTCTGGTGGAAATTGCATTGGCAATGGAAATAACTTTAGCGTTGCAAACACTTTCAGGTTCGAATTCGTAGATGCAGTGGTTTATCAGGTTCCATACACCAGATGATGGTCGAGGAAAGGAAATTTCATAAATCTTGAATGTTTTGTAACATATATCAAGCGCTTTTTGGAACGTTGGCAAGCTGTAGTATATTCCTCCGTAGTAAACCAAAAACACAGACATCTGTTTCATGTCTGGACCAACTACAATGATCAATGGATGTTGGGTTTGATCACAACGCATATAACGTTGGTTTAATCTATTGATTTCAGTTTCCAAAACCTCCAATCCTTGAATCCATAGTATAAAACTTTCACGCACGTCCATATACGTTGGCCTCCATTTCTTATGCTCCCGAGATGTCAACATAGGGCATGGCAATAAATAGGCGAGCAAGCTTGTGGTTAACCAGTCACAGGAATCTACAATTCATATAAAAAAATATAATCAGAAATGCACTGGTTTTAAAATGTCGATTTACCTTCACTCAATGAGCTGTCATCAAGAAGAGTCAAAATGGATTTTGCTGTAGGATCAGTTATGTCGGTGTTCAAAATGGATTTGATGCCTGTTCGAAAGTTGTTTCAACGTTCGTAGAGCAAATTGTGCTTGCTTGGAAACTTTGATTTGAAATCAATTTGTATGAGCTGGTAACCATCTGGTCTTCGTAGCGTTGGGAAGGCATCAAGAATTTCTTCACACGATCGATTTTTATGCTTCGAAATTTCGAGTAGACGAAAAGCGCTTGTAGCAGCCCATTTTTCCTTCACGGTTGTCCACTCATCCTCATGATGACGAATCCAGGTTTTTACTTGCTCGTACTCTGAAACTGATAAAAATGTAATGAAATTCCAGCTAGGTCCTAATGAAGGTAATATCAACTGACTTTTATGATATTGTGAAATTGTCTACTGAAACATGACTAAAAAAAACAGGATAGCAAGCATATAGATATATAGGGGCGATTGAAATATGATATCCAAAAGATTTATTTTTTTAGCCCCCTGCCTTCCCCTTGTGTCTTGACTTTTTCACGTACCTATTACACGTTATATCACAAATTCCTTCCCCCTCCTCAATAGTGGATCATATTTGAATCACCCTTTATATATATATATATATATATATATATATATATTTTTTTTTTTTTTTTTTTTTTTCACCACATAGTTTGAGAAGATAATATTTAGTTTGTTTTTATAACGAATAGCATTTTAAACAAAAGAGAAAATCTTTGAACGGAAACGATCAATCAACTTAAGGACTTATTTTGAATTTTTTCGGTTTGAAAATTATTACTATAACTTACGTGCTGCTTCGGAAAGAAGGTCTTCTTCGTGAGGTTGTTCCGGGGTATGTTGATGAATTTTTTTTTCACTGTGGTTTTCGGGTTTATAATTGGAGTTCCTGTCGTGAAGGCAACCTCGTGCCAGCCTGCCCAATTTGATTTTTTTATTCCCTTTAATTTCCACAGATGGCTGATACCAGGTATACTGAGAAACGTGATAGAAAGTCAGATTTCAAGGAGTTTGTACTAGGGTTTGTATATTTTCAAGTCTCTTAAGATCTCACTTAAGATGGCAGGGGGCATTCAATAAGTACGTCATGCTCAAAGGGGGAAGGAGGATTAGAAATCTGAGACGAGAAAAGTATAAAGTACCGCGGATCCCCGATAATCTGACTGTTTTTAATATGAACACTTTTTAATTTAAACCCGTCTAAAAATGGTTCAAGCATTTATTATCTCATGGAACGGAGTTAAGCAAAATGGAACATTGTTAAACGAAACATAGAATAAAAACACCGGAGGCGAACCAACCCCAGGCTGAAAGCCTCCGTAATAAAACAAACCTAGCCTAACCTAGAATAAAAACAAAACTGCAAACATGACTACCAGAAACATGATTTTCTTATGATCATAGGGTTACTAGAAGTTCAAATTAAGAATGAACCCCGTTAATATGAATGAATTGTAGTTCAGATTAGCGGGGTTCCTCTGTATAGGCAAAATATGGCAAAAGAGGTTGGGTAATTTTCTATCATGTTCACACGACGTACTAAATGAATACTCCCAGAGCAGGTTTTAGTAATTCAAAACTTACCTCTGACTCTGAAGGAAACAGTTGTTTGAGCTCTGCTGCTCTAAGATTCAATTCGTTCCGAGTGAGTTTTCCGAAAACGTCTTTAAACTCGTCAACGACAATATGCGTTATTGCTTTTCTTTGAATTTTTGTCAACACGTGCCTATTCTGGTAGCTTTCTATAATCAACCTTCCTTTCGTCGATGATTGTATCAGAAATTTAGCAGTACAATCTTCACGTTTGATTTTTGCCAACCAACTTTCTGTTTTGTGCGAATTTTCGATAGCTGACAGCGGTGCTGATACTGCAGGAAGACCCTGTGGATAGTGTTTGATTGTTATTTTATACAGATTTATTTTTAAGGTTTACCGTGGATCCCCGGTGATCTAACCGTTTTTAAACTGAACACTTTTTAGTTTAAACCCCACTAATATGCACGCCGTGCAAACTAAAAATTGCTCAAAAGTAATATAGCACATGGAATGGATAAAAGCGAAATGGAACGCAGCGAACGTTAAAGCGCAGAAACTGAGGAGTAGCAATTTCATGTTTGTGTGTTTTATGGAAGCTAACATTTGTGCTTTTGAAGTTTCACGCCAAGGCTTCCTCAGAGTGTCACCTTAATAGGATCAGGTTTAAGATCATAAGATCGCTGAAAAACTAAATTCTTTGCTTACCTGTGCTTGTCTCCAATTATTGAGTCCAATCATAAGCTTTGTCCGTTCAGCTAGATGGGGAGGACCAATCAAGTCTTCGATCTCTCGTCTCTCGATTCCCTTCAGCAGCTCCACGGTGTATCCGTTTTCTGGAATTGTGGAAAATATTAATGACAATGCTATGTTCAAACTGGAAACATATAACATGTTATAAGGCGTGTCATGGTGACATTTTTCTAGTCAATGATTATTATAAAATGTTGTTAGAACTCTGTAGTCTGAACAAGACATAATGCCTTGTTCAGACAGCAGAGTTATAACTTGTTTCTATAACTATCAACAAGAAAAATTTCATCTAGATAGCTTTAAAACATGTTTTACCTCTCCAGAACGTTGCGTAAGACTAATAAACTACAACAATAAAAAATAAGAGTACCCAAGAACGAGGAAATACTATGATCTGACAATCCAAATGTAAGCAGCAGATCAACAACTTCTGCGTTTTCACCTTCGAGCGTTTCATAAGTGACTTCCTCGACTTCGTCTTTGAAATCCATCTGCGATATTGTTACGAATTCAGAAAAGTTAATTAACAAAAAAGCAGGAGTAAAACGTTTCTAAAACATAATTCCCAGTAACCGCTCACCGCACAGCATTGGCAACACGATATAGGAATGCATGAATACATTGCTGGAACTAGGTGATAAGATCAGTAAATCCTTCACAGGATCCTTGCTTAATCTACCCTAATGAAATTTTACATTAGCCTAACGGAAGGGAGTACTACAGTACCACATTTTTACCAGAAATTGATTTACCTGCCTTCTACAGCATAGGTTCTCCCTCGGGTTCTCCACTATCCAAGGGTGAACGATCATCTCTTGAAGTGTGCGGAAGCATATTGACTTGCTCGAATACCATCAAGGTGGATTCCGATCCGTATTAATGAAGCAATCGGTTACATGCGGTTTTCCCAGCCAGCGATCAATCGGTCATTGAAACGGATCTTTTGAAGGAATCCATCTTGATGGTAGTCGAGCAAGTTGATATTTTTCCACACACGGTAAAGGGTGATTTTTCACCCTTGGATAGCGAGAAAAAAAAGATCTGCATCTATGTTCCAGTTAGATTAAACCGGTGAAATGTCATTTTGTCTTATACCAGCCTCTTGTTACGTTTAGTGTAGAAAGAAAAAGGAAGATCCGGATCAGATTCAGAATCCAGAATCCATTTCGCATTTTCGTTTTTCTTTCGACGTTTTATCAAACTAGAACTATTTGTTTCTTACCGTGATGTGATTCCGGATCCTGAACTTCTAATTTACCACTAATACAGACCGTTTTTTGATCCGAAAAATATCTGGAGCGGCTGGAGTTAACGCACTTTTCTGCCGAATGTAAACAAGAGGAAGAAGGCAGGACACACTAAGAATCGTTTACTCGGATTTATGAGTTGGTTTACTTATTTTTGAGTTCGTAGAACTGAACCTCAAAAGTAGATCAAATTTGCTAAGAATTATTGGTAAAATTTATCTGAAAATGAGTAAAATTAATAAATAAAAAGTTAAAATTTATTTATATTTGTTAACGTGTAGTTCACTTATATTATGAGTTTGTGCAGTTTGTCCAACTATTGATAAACTTTACTCATATTTATGGTTGTAGTTCTTAGCGTGTAGCACAACAAATTACCGCGAGTACTCCTGACAAAAGTGTTGTTAAAAGTCAATACGTATATTTTTGATTCAAAAATATTATCCGTTGGAACGACAATAGATATTTTTGAATAAACAATCAAATATGATTGAACTATATATTGTTGAAGTAAACATGCTTTTTAATTTAATACAAACATATTTATTTTTGTTTTAAACATTTTTTCAATTTACTTTGAATAATTTATATGTTTAGAGAACAAACATTTATATTTTTGATTTAAATGCACAAAATTTGGTTCCGTGTATGATTATCTTAAATAAATGAAAGTGAATTTGGATGGATGTTTTTGTATGACATACAATGATAGAAGAGCAACAGTTTGTATCGCTTAACTCGGTTTGTTTACATTTGTTATTATCGTTTCAGTAGAAAACCGGAAAATCCCACACGCGCCAATTGAATTTACTCTCGTTCTGTACGTTAAACATAACGTCGGACATAGTGCGCTGTATTCACACAATGATGCGCTATTCAGCGCACTATGTCCGACGTTATGATTAACGTACAGAACGAGGGTAAAATCGAATGTCGTGTGTGGGATTTTCCGATGTCCAACTTGAACGACAATACATTGGTCGATTTGAAAAGTGACGCGAGAAATCTCCTCGTGTAGAGATTAGTTTTTGTTCCTGTCAGCTGAGTTCTGTCACTTCTAGAACTGTCACGTTCACGAGCAATCGATTTTTCCTTTTTCACCCATCCTCTTGTTCTGTGCGTTCGCGGTCGCATGCATGTGTTTTTCGTGTCGCGAAGTGCGGTGAAAATCTCGAGATAAAAGTGTTTTTTTCCGTGGGAACCTCAATGTAAACCGAACGAAACCGGCTAGAATCTTTTCGGTGCCAGCAAAACACTGAATTTTTCTTGGAACTTCGCAACGGAAGTGTGCATTTTGAACTTTGAGTTTATAATTTCTGCTTTAAACTTTCCAACTACGCGGCGCAGCAAGCTCTGTGTGAATGGATTCCGATCCCGAGGTCGTGCTGGTGGATAAAGTGGACGAGGACGAAATTTCAACCGATAAGGACAGCGGAATGGAATCGGCTAGCAACAGCAAAGATGACACACCGGAACGCAAAACGGCTACGGTGAGAATCGTGAAAGCGTAAATTTAGGAGGGTTTTGTTCGACGTGAAGTTGAAAACATGATTAACCGATGAAGAACTGAATCGATCGATTCCAGTGTTGAGATTTTTTTTTACTAGACTGGTGCGTGATTATGCAATGGAATGAATGGGTCATTTTGTGTGTTTTCAGTTAGAGGAGTTGTTGCAGGAAGATGCGGAGGAGGAAACTGCTCCAGCTCCGAGTGCACCAGTTGCAGCACCAGAACCAGCCCCCGCCCCAGCCCCAACACCAGCAGCAGCAGCAGCACCAAAGCCCCAACCGGCAGCTAGTACAACCTCAAAGGCCACGGCACCAGCTGCTATCAAAAGCAAGGACGACGATTTCGATGACGTAAGTACTAACATCGTCTTTTTTTTATCTTTTGTCGCATTCGCTCGCATTGCTTTCTTTCGGGTATCGTCACGATGTTTGGGTGTGCTAATTTCTTGGGGTGTTTTCTTTTACCACACATCGACTGAACGATGACGAAATTAGGATTCAATTGTAATTTCTCTTGAAATATGTTTCCTAACGTTATATGGAAGTTGCAGAGAATATAAGACACTTATGCATCCACCGGCAGTGCATACAGTATTAGGAAAAACGTAACGAAAGGAGGAATTAATCCTGAATTTCCATCACCATAAGAGGTGGCGATATTTGAGCGTTTATCGATTCACTTGTTTGGAGATCAGCTTGCATGCAACTTGCACCACTAATTTTAATCATAGTAGTACGCCTGACAAAATGTTGCTACCCTGGCAAACTGAAATTTAAACAAACAACTCAAATTGTCTCCAAAAGCACTCTGAATTATAGTCGGCTATATAGCGACTTTACTCTGAATGTCCATTATGTGATGCAGTGTTTCTTAGAATAAATTCTAACATTCTCATATCTGTGGAATATGTGGAAACTTGTATGTAAATGTTGGTGCAAGGCAAGAAACTTTTATTTTTATAGTTGGTTGGAAATGCTAACATGAAGCTTTAGTGTGATAATTTATTAGCTAGAATGATCTTTAGAAAAGGGTAGGTGGATAGTTCCGTTAGAGTACGGCAGTATGAAAATTGAATAGAAGTTGAAAATGAGCGAAGGGCCATTAATGCGACAGTACAAAGTCAAACGCACACCTTTTGCCTAACCCAATAAATTATCACACTAAAGCTTCATGTTAGCATTTCCAACCAACTCTGAAAATCGCAAACTTCGCGTATGAAGTGACATAAAAACACTTTGAATGTTTTATTTTTATAATTTTATCGTGTATTCCAGCATCTACTTTCTTCAGAGAAGTTATTCTATACTGCCTATAATCGCATATCAGGCCCTTATTACGGGTGTCACTTCACGGTGAAAACGAAGTGAAGTGACCAGTTGTCACTCACGGTGAAGTGGTTGCCGTGTAAATCAAATGGGAATCACTTCACCGTGAAGTGACAACGGTAATAAGGGGAGGCCCTTATGGTCCGATATGGATTTTCGTTATTTTTAATATAATAACGGAAAACAAATCAAGGAAAAAAGTTATCTGTCTTATAACGAATATACGTTGTATACGAGTACCCCGAATACAACGTATGTCTCGTCTAATTTTGCATAGCATTTGCAATGTAAAATTAGGCGAATTATTATACGTTGTATTCGGGGTACTCGTATACAACGTATATTCGTTATAAGTCAGGTAACACAGTAGTGATTGCAATC